AGGAGGCCAACACACACACACACACACACACACACACACACACACACACACACACACACACACACACACACACACACACACACACACACACACACACACACACACAGAGGGAGAGAGAGAGAGAGAGAGAGAGAGAGAGAGAGAGAGAGAGAGAGAGAGAGAGAGAGAGAGAGAGAGAGAGAGAGAGAGAGAGAGAGAGAGAGAGAGAGAGAGAAAGAGAGAGAGTAAGAAAGAAAGAAAGAAAGAAAGAAAGAAAGAAAGAAAGAAAGAAAGAAAGAAAGAAAAAGACAATAAAAAATGGAGAAAAGGAAGAATCAATCTGGCGAGAGCTAACACATCGTAGATAGGAAGAAGAAGAAGAATAAAAAAGAATAATCCAAGTAAGGGGGGGGGAAAAAAGTAATAAATATCCCTCCCATCCTAAAGGACCCGTTCGAAGCGCCCGGTGAAACAACAAACCGGAAGAGGGAAGGGGAAGGAGGGGGAAATGAGGGGACGAGGAAAGGGGATCGAGACAGCTGTACCGGAAGCTGGAGTGGATGGCGGAAAAGGGATAAAATAAAGGAGAGGCAAAAGGTAGAGAGGAAAGCCGTATCGTAGCAACAGAGACGGAAAGATCGACAATAAAGAGGGAGGAAAAGAGTAACTGAAAGGAGTCACGTGGAGCTGTTGACTGCCTGGAACTTTGGAGGGTCGGGTTTTATGACGAAGGGAGAAGTGTGAGGGAGAGAGAGAGAGAGAGACAGAGAGACAGAGAGACAGACAGAGACAGAGAGAGAGAGACAGAGACAGAGAGAGAGAGTGAGAGAGACAGACAGATATAGAAACAGTGAGAGAGAGAAAGAGAAAGAGCAAGAAAGAGAGAGAAAGCGGCTGCAAGGAGAAGAAAATACCGCCACTAAAGACTTTGATCCCAACAATGTTTTTATGGTTTGTTTTGATGCTCTGGCATAGCGCTCACCCGCTCTGTTTTTGCCCCGCGTCGAGATGTTGCAACGCGGGGCTGTTGCAAAGCTGAAGGTGCTATATGCCTTGTGATGAAGACCTTCCAGCATTATACGTGGCGCGCAAGCCTGATCTATACACAGCCTGCTAATTAACTCAGAATCTTTTTGAAAAACATAATATCTCTGAAGTTAATGACGACTCAAAGACTTATCAATGTGACATTCCAGATGATGATGAAATCCCATTTTCTTAAATTATTTTTTTATTCTTAATATAATTCAGACTATCACTTAATACTCAACTCCTTTTCATATTATCTGAAATACAACAACAAGAGACAGTTGCCAATTTAGAAAAAAAAGAAAATTGTTCAATCTGACTACAGAAAAAAAACAAACAAAAAAAAACAAGGAAACTTAAGGGAAACCGCTCCTAAGTGATATTGATGATGAACTAAGCATATCCATTAAAGTCTTGAGGCGCGTGCATTAGAGGTAATTATTCACCAGAATTTGTTTAAGGACATTAGCCATGCCCCCTTGAGAATCTTCTTTCTCTTTCTGCGCCGTAGATCGATAGCAAGGAGGAAGAGAGAGGGAGAGAGAGAGAGAGAGAGAGAGAGAGAGAGAGAGAGAGAGAGAGAGAGAGAGAGAGAGAGAGAGAGGGAGAGAGAGAGAGAGAGAGAGAGAGAGAGAGAGAGAGAGAGAGAGAGTGAGAGAGAGAGAGAGAGAAGAGGGAGACAGATAGACAGACAGACAGACATAGACAAAGAAAGAGAGAAAACAGAAAGAAAACAAGAACAAGAAAGACCATATATATGCATAAATAACAACGCACTAAGTAAGTAAACAAAGTAAGCGGTTGCGTGCGTGCTCGTAGATCCTCACTCCTCCTCCCCCCACCCCCTTACCTCCCCCTCACCCCCCTTCCTTCTCCTTCCTAGTTAGGCTCAGGAATCGAGGACTAGGGAAGGTAGGCGGGCGGGCGGGAGGTCGGCTGGGCTGTTCTCGTAATAAATCTGACTCGGCTTTGATCCCCGCTGATCGTGGGTTGTGTGTAAACCCGGGAAAAGGGGCCGAGGGAAGGGAAGAGCACGCTGGTCATGTTGATGTTGTTATTGTTATTATCACTGTTATTATTATCATCATCATCATCACCATCATTATCATTATCATCAACATCATCATCATCATTATCATTATCATCATCATCATCATCATCATTATCGTCATCACCATCATTATCATCATCATCATTATCATCATCATCATCATTATTATTATTGTTGACATTGTTAGTATTTATTTTTGTTTTATTATTATTGTTGTTGTTAGAATTATTACGATTATCATGATTATTATTAGTATGATGATTATGGTTGTTAGTATGATTATCGCTATTTAATATCTTTAGTATTAGTGACGTCATTACTCTTTCCATTACTAGTATCACACCGGACAATATTCTTCATCTGCTGACTTTTCGGATTACTTTCATGCGGACGTTCTCCCCCCACCCACCCACCCACACCCCTTTTGTATCTTCCTCCTCCGAGAAATCATCTCCACGACGGTTCATTTTCCCTATTTTTTTCTTTCCTTCTTTTCTTTTCTTTTCTTTCTTTCATTCATTTTTTAGGGGGGGGGGGGCGAAGTGTCTCTTCCCCAACTCGCGTCATTTGCCGGGGAACAAAACGATGACGTCACTGACACCCCCGCGAAAATACCTCTTTGTGCGGATCGTAACAGCTGATCCTCGCGATGGGGATGAATCAGTTGTTGTCGCCCTCGCCATGTGGAGGAGGAGGAGGAGGGTGAGGGGAGAAAGAGGGGAGAGATGGGAGGAGGGAAGAGAAGAGGGTAGAGGGTGGGAGGAAGAGGGGGATAGAGAGGGAGGAAGAGGGGGATAGAGAGGGAGGAAGAGGGGGAGAGAGAGGGACGAAGTGGTGAACAGATGAGAGAGGAGACTTGAAGAGGAGGGGAGAAGAGGGAGGAGAGGAGAGGCGGAAACCAGAACCGAGATGGAAGAAGAGAGGAAAAAAGAGAAAAGAGAGAGAGAGAGAAAGAGAGAGATTGGAAATGTCTTTTGTTTGTCATTGCGGATGACGAATCTCGCATCTCCTCCGCCATGACAGTGAAGCCGCGATGAGGTCTTTGTGTCGCCGAATGACTAGTTAGGCCTAAATTCGCGCGTTTCATTCGCCGACGAGGAGCGAAAATTACTCTCGATTCCCTCGCTCTCTCTCTCGCTCGCTCGCTCGCTCTCATTCTCTTTCTCTCTCTCTCTCTCTCTCTCTCTCTCTCTCTCTCTCTCGTCTCTCTCTCTCTCTCTCTCTCTCTCTCTCTCGCTCGCTCTCTCTACGCTCCCTCTCTCCTTCTCTCTCTCCGTCCCTCCCTCCCTCCTGACGCTGCCCGCTACAGATAAAAATGAGGAAAATGCGTTGTGTGTATGTGCAAGCCCTTTCTTGTTGTGCGTGCGTCCGTGGTTCCGTGCGTTCGTTCCCTCGCGTTTAAAGGCTTCCTCTTGACTATGTATGTGCATTGCTTTCTCCCTTATGTGCTTACGCTCTTACGATGTTGCTGGGAATTTGGAATTTTATGAAGCAAAGATGTGCATGCTTGTGAATACACTACATACATGCAGTTTGTGTACATATTAATATTATGGATATTTATTGTAAGTAATAATAATAATGATAATGTAATATCCCTAGCAGGCAAATGGTTAGCCTTTTTAATGATTCGAACGCACACATACAGAACCAGATGCCGTATACTTTAATACATTTATATAAATAATTTTGGCATTACCTCCGAATTCTATTTTCCGGCGCAGGTACAGGATTATAAATGAATTTTCATCAGCAAAACAGAACAAGAGTTTGTACTTAAATAGTAGATGACCCACATTTAATGGAAATTTCGTGTCGGTTTTACGTCGAAAAAAAATAATAATAGTTCAGATTCAAAATCATCGCATCAAACGTGGAAAGGCATTAAAACCCATTATATTTAACGGGATTTATTATACAGTCGGACATTTTAGCTCTGGAAGGAACACGCAAAAAAGAGAAGAAATATTGGCACGTGTTGTCTTTATATATTTCTTTCTATGTTTACTCTCTCTCTCTCCGATTTAAGTGAGAGGGAGACAGAGAGACAGACAGACAGACAGAGACAGAGAGAGAGAAAGAGAGACAGACATACAGAGAGAGAGAGAGAGAGAAAGAGAGACAGACATACAGCCAGAGAGAGAGAGAAAGAGAGACAGACATACAGAGGGAGAGAGAGATAGAAAGAGAGACAGACATACAGAGAGAGAGAGAGAGAAAGAGAGACAGACATACAAAGAGAGAGAGAGAGAGAAAGAGAGACAGACATACAGAGACAGAGACAGACATACAGAGAGAGAGACACAGAGACCGAGACAGAGAGCGGAAGCCAGAGCAGAGAAGGAAGGATTCTATACAGAGGGTCGGAAGAAAGGATTATCGAATCGACTTAGGATTAAGCGCAGGGAAGTCCTACTTAGGGTTCACGAGGGGGGGGGGGGTGCGAAAGAAGGGCACGGGGGAGTGGGGGGGAGGTTAGGAGAGGAGGGGGGGGCGCTTGGGGAAGGTCGAAGCTAAAAAAAAATTATGAAATATCCGTCATATTTACAACGGAAACTAAACAGAGAGAGAGAGAGAGAGAGAGAGAGAGAGAGAGAGAGAGAGAGAGAGAGAGAGAGAGAGAGAGAGAGAGAGAGAGAGAGAGAGAGAGAGAGAGTAAAATTAAGTAATAGTGAGTCTGCCGTAATAATTATGTTAATATCATTTAAACATATGTATATTTTAATACTTAAAACATGATTTAGTACGCATGCGACCTCGATGAATTTATAATGGTGGGGGGGGTCATCTCTCGAAAGTAAAAACAAAAAAAAGACGAGTAATATCAGCGTCTAGGTCTTTTGGGGGCGCCTCCCTTATCTTTTTTATCAGAATAATCGCCTGGTACACATTACCGATAAGAAATGTTATCAGTTCCCCCCAATGTATGGTGAAATAAGCAGCCTCGTCAGTATGTGGAGGTTACGCTGAAGGTGTGACGCGCTTGCTTTGTTTTTTCCCGGAAATATTCCACATTTGCGAGGAAGAAAAGTGAGTATTACTGTTTAAATGAGTATTGTCATATCGAATCACGTGGATTTCGTGAGTTGAAGATTGGAAAATTAGCTAGAGAAATGGTTTTCCAAATTGGTCTCGATCATTTGTGGAGGGGCATTCGAGTGTGCTGATATAACCGGATTGTTTGAAGGTTTTTGTTAAATGTCACTGAATATGCTAAGAAACTCTAACTCATCGCATTGTTCATATTTAAAGCAACTTATGTAAAACACTACGACCACGCAAAGAACTAACAAAAACAAAATATACAAATATACGTCCCTTAACCAAACCCCAACCAACTCATAACACACACACACACACAAAAAAAAAATATATCAATCTACCAAAACCCACCACTAGAAAAAAACAGAAAAGAAACAAAACCCCGAAATCAATACTCAAACAGAAACAAAAAACAAAAACAAAAAACAAACCAAAAAAAAAAAACCCACCAAACCCACCACCACAGGAAAAAACAAAACAAAACAAACAAAACCCAGAAAAGAAACAAAACCCCCAAAACCAAACCAAAACCCAAACAAGAAATAAAAAAAAAAAAAATCCCCCACCTTCTCTCACACTCGAACGCTTCTTCTTCTTCGCTCATTGACGTCGGAAAAAAAAATCGAAAAAAATGGACCGGAGCAAAATCTACGCCGGAGTCCCCGCTATCAAGCTCTACACCGGCCCTAATGTCTACAGGAGCCCTCGGGGACATGCGGCTGCTGCTTGTGGAACGGCTTGTATGTATATTGAAGGGGAAATCAGGGAAATAATGGGATATAAGGGAAAGAAAACCAAAATCCGAAGCGTGGCTTGTTTTGTTGACGAAAGAGAGAAACGCGAAGATAAATAATAGAAATACTTGGATGGGGGATAAAAAAGGGTAGAAATAGTAGATTAAAAAATAAGGAGAAGACAAAAACGCGAAGATAAACAATAGATACACTTAGGGGGGGGGAGTGGATAAAGCATAAAAATATCAAAATAAGAAATAATAAGACCAAAAAAAACAACAAACAACCCAAAAAAACACCTCTCCCTCTCCCCCCCTCAAAAAAAGCCCCACAAGTTCCCTCTTTTTTTCCCCCGTGGCTGTTGGAAGGCTTCCCCCCAGGGTTTAAAACCGAGGCTTCTCTCTTCGCCGCGTCATTCAAGCCTCAAACGCCTCGCTCATCGGACGGAAGGCGCCGCGGATTTTTGTAGGCCTATTTTACCTTGTCTTTGTTATGTGAGTTTTTTTTTTAAGTGTTATTTTATGTGGAATTGTGAATTGAGTTTTCCCCCGTCTGTTTGTGTTTTTTTTTTTTTTATAATTGAACTAATGACAAATTGTGAATGTTTGATTGGAAAAAATATATTGTTGTAGGCCTATTTACCTTGTCTTTGTTAATTGAGTTTTTTTTAAGTGTGTTTGTGTTTTTTTTGTGGCATTGTGAATGTTTGATTGAAAGGGAAACAAAATACGAACTCAATTATCTTAGTTTAGTGAGTTTTTCCCGTCTGTTTGTTTGTGTTTTTTTTTGTTTGTTTGTTTTTGTGTTTTTTTAGTGGAATTGTGAATTCATCGGAAAAAAAAAACGAATACAAGGGTGTGGGTGGGTGGGCGAGGGAGAACGATCACCTTCCCGACGTCTGAATATTGGGCGTTTCGAGTGTTTTTTTTTCTGTATTATTTATTTAGATTTTTTTGTAACTGATTGTGAAAGGGAAGAATGTGAGGAACGTGGCCTTATGAGGTCTATGCTTAAAGTGCATTTTAATGTGTTGAAGGGAATTCATAATTGTTGATAATTGCAACATAACTTTTCATGGTTATTACTCTTACTATTTTATTTTTATGTTGTTATGGCTGACTAAGTGTTTCAGAAGGCAGAAAGTGTTGTATATTCTATGTCATTTATTCAAACCAAGTGTTTTACAAGAAACATGTTTGTGCATATTTTATTTCTCAGAAAAAAAACTAGTTAAGCTAGGTCCCTAAAAGTTGTCTCTAAATGTCTCTCATAGTAAGATGATAAAATTCAAAAAGATAAATGGGGAGGGAAAGAGAAAGAAAAAAAAAATAGGAAGAGAAAGAGAAAGAAAAGAGATAGGAAGAGAAAGAGAAAGAAAGATAAGAGATAGGAAGAGAAAGAGAAAGAAAGATAAGAGATAGGAATAGGAAGAGAAAGAGAAAGAAAGATAAGAGATAGGAAGAGAAAGAGAAAGAGAAAGAAAAGAGATAGGAAGAGAAAGAGAAAGAAAAGAGATAGGAAGAGAAAGAGAAAGAGAAAGAAAGATAAGAGATAGGAAGAGAAAGGAGTTACTTACTTGACGTCGGTTTTCTCAAAGAGGGCATAGAGGCAGAATGCACTCACGCCCACCGTGGCAACGCCCATGATGCTAACCAAGGGGAGGACCTGAAATAAATGAGAAATCGAAATTAAACTTGGGTTGGCTGTGTCGCAGTCATTTGAGACTTTATTTATTATTATTATTTTATTTTATTTTATTTTTTATGCGTGTGTTTTGTGATTATTATTGCAGAATGATAAGAAGATAAAATAATGATTGAGAGCATAGAAGACCATAGATAAACAGAATTTAAAGAGTAATACAACAATAATATGTGTATTATTTAGATATCGTACTGAACTAGACAAATACAAGAATTAAAAACAACAATGATGAATTATCCTACACACACTAAAGAGAATGTAATGGTACTAATGTGTAATTTTCCTTTCCAGCTGGGAGTATTGGACTGGTCAAGAGTGACCGTAAGATGGACGGCGTATCAGCAGAACAACACATGAATGGTTCATCGGGAGCTTCACAGGGTGGCTCTTCGGGACGCTCATCACCCTCAGGTAAGGAGAGCTGGGGTTTCTTACTTTGCCTGTGTTGGTATTTCTCGTAGCCTTTTGTGTTTCTTACGTTGTCTGTTAGTGTCGTATTATGAAATTGCATAGGGTGTTTTTATTTATAGATCGAGCTATCTTTATGCTTTTTAGAATTTAAGTAAGCATTAGAATTACTTGTATATTGCACCATATTTTATTTGTTGTTGTTTCACTCTTAACAGATCCTGCCCCAAACAAGATGTTTGTAGGTGGTCTCTCCTGGCAAACTACACCTGAAAAGCTGAGGGAATACTTTGGTGCCTATGGAACTGTACGAGATGTTCTCATTATGAAAGATCCAGTCACACAGGTAAGAAAACTTATATTTTCTGTCTCTTCAAAGATACTTTTAAGATATATTTTCAATGTTTGATTTTGAAATGTGAAAAGGGAGACAGGTTTATTGAACAGTCGAGTATATGATGTTCTCAGATGTACTAAATAACTAAAGCCAGTGATTATTGTTAGCAGTTTGTTATATTACATTTTATTTTAAAGTTTGTTTATTTCAATTTTATTAAGCATTAATTTAGCTCCATTTCCCTTTTTGCTTGTTTCTTTATTATCACTGACATGTCCTCCAATTTAGTCAGAACTTAAAACCCCCAAATACAGATTTTTATATACTTGTTATTATTAGTTTAAAATGAGACTTTGATAAATTTTTACTGTATCCAAGATTGACTATTGGTACAACAACCTTTCAGTTTTCTTTCCTTTTTTTATTTATTATGTTATATTAGGTATCAGAGTCATGAATATTGGTTTTACAAAAAAAAAAAAAAAAAAAAAATCTGTTGACCTAAAGGGAGGTAATGCTCTCTTGTGTTCTGATATTGTTTTTTTTTTTTAATTATTTGTTTTTTTTTTACTTTTTACAATTTTTTTGTTGATTTTTTCACAATAAGTTAGGAATATTCATGAACAGGATGACAGTATGATAGTTTTAAAGAGTTAGTCAACTAACTGTCTGTTGATAAGGCCAAGAGCACATGATGTGGAGTATAGGAAAGAAGCCTTTGATGTCCTGTGCATGAGTAAGAGTGTCTGAAACCTTACACATGCCGGAGCCCCAGTGAGCTTTGACCAAATCTCATTAGGTGTAAAAGAATTGAGGTTCCCCAGGTTGAAAGCCAATTAGTGGCTTGCGCTGGCAGTTGTCATTTCCAAAAAAAAAAGATTTTAGGTATATGATTTAAAAATGTATGATCTTGTGGGAGACTGTTCTTGTACTTTGATGTACTTAAATGTAAAAAAAAAAAAAAGCATATTGCTTCATGAGTCGTGAATAATAGCCAAGATAACACTATAACTTATTATTGACTCTCAGATTAATCTTTGTGAAGGAAGTCAAAGATGGGAGAAGCCGGGTAAGAGGTGAGACCCTAGTTTGAACTCGGCATTGTTGCCATTGGTCGATGTTGACTTGGAATTATTTTAATTATTACTATTATTATTATTATTACTATTATTATTATTTTCTTTTGTCGCACAGTCTCACAAGTTATGTAATGGAAGTGGTGTGTTTTGGGCAGTCTTGTGGAGTATTTTGTGAGAGGGTTTGATTATGTGTAGAACGGTGCAACCTATGTATAGAAAATCTAATAATGTACAATGCAAAGGATATGACTCCACCACTGGCTTGCCGGGAAGATGATTATGGGTCATGGCTGCCATGTATGGTTTCCCGGCCATTTTTGTCATGTTGTTGTAAGACTTCAGAATCTCTATGGCAGATATTCTGATGCCTGACGACAACTTGGATCGTGGCGTGGCATGAACATAATCATCTGATCGGCGATCCACAGAAATGTAGTAGATCTTATTAACTAGATGATTTTCTAGCCAGATTGTAGTGTTATTACTGTTGCTGAGATATTTTTTTATTTTTTTTCATTATTTTTTTATAATTTGTTTTAAGTACTGCTGGTTAAGGATAAGCTACCTTTGGCTGACGTTGGGGCATTCTGTGACATGTAAGCCTTCTACCATACACGTTACAACACGTTTGGTACTGGTAGTGTTGGTGGGAATAAGAGGCAATATCTTGCATTTAGTTTGTGTAATCTGGAGTAGTACAAAAATGTTTATATAGTAATTCAAAACCTTTTTATAGACCTCAAGTATGACATGGATCTAATAATTTTTAGGCTCGAAAAAAAAAAGACTTAAGAATGACTAAACTTGTGTATGAATTAGTTATTTTTTTTTGCCCCCAAATGTATCTCACTGGAATGCACATATTGATACACCAAATTGGAGGTTGTTTACCAAAAAAAAAAAAAAAAGCATATTGCTTCATGAGTCGTGAATAATAGCCAAGATAACACTATAACTTATTATTGACTCTCAGATTAATCTTTGTGAAGGAAGTCAAAGATGGGAGAAGCCGGGTAAGAGGTGAGACCCTAGTTTGAACTCGGCATTGTTGCCATTGGTCGATGTTGACTTGGAATTATTTTAATTATTACTATTATTATTATTATTACTATTATTATTATTTCTTTTGTCGCACAGTCTCACAAGTTATGTAATGGAAGTGGTGTGTTTTGGGCAGTCTTGTGGAGTATTTTGTGAGAGGGTTTGATTATGTGTAGAACGGTGCAACCTATGTATAGAAAATCTAATAATGTACAATGCAAAGGATATGACTCCACCACTGGCTTGCCGGGAAGATGATTATGGGTCATGGCTGCCGTGTATGGTTTCCCGGCCATTTTTGTCATGTTGTTGTAAGACTTCAGAATCTCTATGGCAGATATTCTGATGCCTGACGACAACTTGGATCGTGGCGTGGCATGAACATAATCATCTGATCGGCGATCCACAGAAATGTAGTAGATCTTATTAACTAGATGATTTTCTAGCCAGATTGTAGTGTTATTACTGTTGCTGAGATATTTTTTATTTTTTTTCATTATTTTTTTATAATTTGTTTTAAGTACTGCTGGTTAAGGATAAGCTACCTTTGGCTGACGTTGGGGCATTCTGTGACATGTAAGCCTTCTACCATACACGTTACAACACGTTTGGTACTGGTAGTGTTGGTGGGAATAAGAGGCAATATCTTGCATTTAGTTTGTGTAATCTGGAGTAGTACAAAAATGTTTATATAGTAATTCAAAACCTTTTTATAGACCTCAAGTATGACATGGATCTAATAATTTTTAGGCTCGAAAAAAAAAGACTTAAGAATGACTAAACTTGTGTATGAATTAGTTATTTTTTTTTTGCCCCCAAATGTATCTCACTGGAATGCACATATTGATACACCAAATTGGAGGTTGTTTACCAAAAAAAAAAAAAAAGCATATTGCTTCATGAGTCGTGAATAATAGCCAAGATAACACTATAACTTATTATTGACTCTCAGATTAATCTTTGTGAAGGAAGTCAAAGATGGGAGAAGCCGGGTAAGAGGTGAGACCCTAGTTTGAACTCGGCATTGTTGCCATTGGTCGATGTTGACTTGGAATTATTTTAATTATTACTATTATTATTATTATTACTATTATTATTATTATATTATTATTATTATATTATTATTATTATTATTATTATTATTATTATTATATTATTATTATTATTATTACTATTATTATTATTATTATTATTACTATTATTATTATTATTATATTATTATTATTATTATTATTATTATTATTACTATTATTATTATTATTATATTATTATTATTTTATTATTTCAATCATTATTATTATTATTATTATTATTATTATTATTATTATTATTACTACTATTACAGTTATTATAATTATTATTATTAGTACCATTGATCCTAAGAATTTTGTAAAGAATTATTTATTGTAATTTGATCTTAAAGAATAAAACTTGTTTTATATTATATCTTAAGTACAGCTGCAACTTTAATTTCAAGTAGTATGCACTAGACTTAAAAAGCTAAATGAACATATCTTTTACAGGTTGAGGAGGCAGTCATGCTTATGGACAACCAGACTAAACGGCACCGTGGATTTGGCTTTGTCACATTTGAATGTGAAGATGTTGTGGAACGTGTGTGTGACATCCACTTCCATACTATCAAGAACAAGAAGGTTGAGTGCAAGAAGGCTCAGCCCAAGGAAGCTGTACAGGCAGCCTCACTTCTCTCCAAGAGGTTGTTGGTCACACAGACTGGTCTTGCCAATCCTGTAGTGAGTGCTCAGTCAGCAGCCCATATTCAGGCTGCTGCTGCTGCTGCTGCAGCTGCACAAGCTGCAGCTCTTAGTGGCTATGGAAAGCTTATGGGTGGGGGTTCCTATCCTCCTTTGTCAGCCTACCGCTACACACCCTATCCTCTTCCTTCCGCAGCACTTCCCTCTGGAGCTCCTCCTACAGCCGCAGCAGCAGCAGCTGCAGCTGCCGCTGCCGGTCTTCCTGCTCAAGGATTGACTACTGTCTCTGCTGCGGCTGCTCCCTCCATTGCTGCCAATCAGGCTGCATTCTCCACCCCAGCCACACCCACCCTGCCCACTCTCTCAACACACGCAGGTCTT